CTTTCAACATATTTCTATTTTTAATATATTATATTCCATCTTTTGTGGCTTATATCTTTTCGTATCATCTTTTATATTATCTTTTATATTATCTTTTCATATTATCTTTTATATTATTGTTTTTATGTATTTTCATTATGTGTGTTCCTTTAATCCGCTATCCCTTCATTTTATATGATTTACCTTTTGTGGCTTATAATTATTCTTTCTGATTGTTCTTATTGTTGAACTCAATAAACTGGTTGCTAAGCCGCAATTGATCGACTCCCTATTCAATCTATTGGTTCCTTGTTAATCATTTGATAAATATTACATCATGTAGATCATTACTCTTCCTAAATGTTTATCCTTTTTGGCTAATCATTTATCCATTCACGCTGATTTGAGATTAGTTCGTTCATACTTAGTACTTGACGTTCACATTTGTCCATTTGGTATATTATTTGCTCTCGCTTAATATTTGTCCGTTTACAGCGTATAAACCTAAATGATTCCCATTTTATACCTAGTATCTTATCAATTTTCAAGCTCACGTTACGTATCAAAAGTATAAAAAATCAAGTCAATATCCCTGAAATTTCTGATAGCAGTAAAATTTTTCTGTTAAACATTTCATTATGTAATACAGACTAGACTATTTTTGCGTTTGTAATATTCAAAGCCAATTGCAATCTGTCATGTGATATTAATAAGATAAATATTTAAAGTAATAAGAAAAAATGCACACTGTCAACAATGATGCTTACCAACTTCACAAAATTTAATTCCACTAAATACAACTCCCTCCCTGAGGTCAATGTTGCCTCCAGAATTTTACAACAACACCCTAATTTTGCTGAACTTCTGGGAAAAATCTATTTTCTTACCAAAGCACATTCCATTGAATTGGGAGTTCAATTAATCTATCGTCATATGCAAGTAGACGAAGTAAAAGTCATGATTGAGAAATTCCAGTTCCACCAAAACGCATCAGCCTTCATTACCTCAGTTAGTTTTCCAACTGACCAAGTTTATCCTGCTAGTTGGTTACTTGAGGACGATGGCAAATTGACAGTATTTGAGTATTCCATAGATATTTTGGTGAAGCGTACCTTCGAAAAACTTATCAAGAATCCAAGTATTTTCGTGGAGATATGTGATTTAATCAGGGACTATCACTTTGAGAATTTACTTGCACCTTGTATCACCGCACGAGATTCATTGAAGCATTTTGAAAAGGAAAACGGATTTATGGAGACAACTGATTTTAAATCCAATGCTAGTATTGTGAAGAATATGAAAAATTCTCAGATAGTGGATGATAAAAACGCAATTATTAATACTATGTGGGCGTATTCAGTGAGCGATAATTGTTTTGGAGATGATAATCATTGTCCTCTTCATTGTAGACATTGTCTCCATTGTGATAGTAGAATTCATTAGTAAATTCCATACAGGTTTTAGTGATATGGTTTCTGTGCAATTATTTATTAAAATAATTATACATCTGTTTAAACTTAATGTTCACTTACAAAAATTTTGTGATACTGGTTATCGTTTAATATTGTAATACTATCTGTAATAGAAGCGTTCGAGCTTTACTCTGCCACACATGTGACATGATACCTTTGGTATTTTCTCTGTACTAAAATTTATTATCTAAAATGATAATAAGATTCACCCACAATTCAGGTTTATATTTTTTATTTGCTTGTCCATCAGCCTAGTAGTTTACGGAAATTTTGGTGTGTATATATTAAAAACTATTCTCCCGATTGGCCAATCATCTTGTGATTTATGGAAACTCACCAGCTCCTGAAACTCTCCTAGAACTGTTGTGGATTTAGAGAGATCTCATGTGATACAAACTTTATAATTAAGCCCCCTCACCTGTGAGCGGAAAACCATCAATAAATTTTTAGAAGTGATATATTAACAATTTTAAATGTGTTTTTTCAAGTACTACTATGATAAAATATTTCATTTGCTTTACAATCTATTGCCTTACAGTCATGAAAAAAAATACAAAATTTACTAAACTAACATAAGCAACATAGCTATTTACAGATATGAAAAACCCACTTTAATACAGAATAGAAAAGTAAATTAAATGTTCTTCTTTTTTGTTATTATAAAAATCACTCTTGGTCGTCTGGCTCAATGAAATTAATAAAAAAATTAATTGTTTCGGCATTCTGAGAAAATGAAGGTGTTGATCCAGAAGATGGTCTTGATACAGAGGGTGTTGTTGGATGTGAGGTCTTTTTAAGACTAGGATTTCCTCAAGGAATTTTTGAAGTAGTTCCAGATCCTGAGGTATTTGCAGATGATGATGCAACATTTGGTCTAGGAATTTTTGATGGTTGCGATCTGCTCGGTATATTAGGTGATGTCACGTTTGCTCTATTAAACCGTTGTTTTTCTAGAAATAATAAACATTTTTTTTCTCACTTTAGTTTGAAAAAGAAAACCTAACCTAACAGGCTATCTCCTGAAGGTCTTGAACAAAGGAGGGATAAATACCGGATTCTTTCCAAAATTCCATAAAGAACTCATTGTAATATTGTTCTCCAACAAGACTCCTTTTCTTTTTAGTTCCTTCCTTATAGGCTTTTGCCGTCTACATATACCAAAGATATCAAATCAAGTCGAGTATTATACAAGGATGTTTGATTATCATATTACTTACATAGTATACCTGAATTAGAGCTAAGAATTTCTTATTATAATCTTCCCCAGTGAAATAATTGGTATTATTTACTCAGTTGATTTCATTCGCAATATCTTCCCAAAAGTTTCTCTTATTATGGTTTAGAGTTCAGTGGTACTGTTCATTCCCGTTTTTACGCTCATTAATTAACATTCAGATTTATTCTTCGCTCCACTGTACGGACATTTTTATGTTTATGAAGGAAGGAAGAGGCAAAAAGACTCGCTTATATAGGTCATGTTTAAGGGGACTTAGTAAGATTAAATTAGCTTCATGTACAGTCAGCACTTTAATTTTCGTAATGATTAATATAATGATTAATCAAAAAGCTTAGTTACTGTGCATGTGTGCAAAATCTGATTGGTTGATCCCCATGATTTGAGTTGCAGAAAGGTTGCGAGGAAGTACCGGGAACTGTCTGGGAGCTAAGGTGATACAAATTTTTATGTTATACATCATATCTGGCTAATCCCTGTTAATCATAAGAGATCCATGCACAGCGCCTATGGTCAAACCGCATGTAAATATAAAATTAGCTTAGCCTGATATATAAATCCCAATCGAATAAAATGAATTTGTATTTACTAGTGTGTAGTCTCACTAAATCGGCTACAGATCAATAAAATCACTATAATTCATTAAAACTGCTTAACCAGCAAATCCGTATAAAATTGAAACATGTTATTCATTAGTATAAGTTACTAAAGAGTTGCTAAAAACACTATAAATCGTTAAATATGTTAGGAAACATTGTTAATAGATCTAGACCTGGTAAATTCATTGATATTATTTTAGATGAGGTTTATAATAAATCTGTGCCTAAACCCATCAATCTCCATCCTGGATATGATATAGAGTATATTAGAAACTGTTATGGTTTTCTTTATCCTGGTCAATTCAAAAAGATGGTTGAGATCGAAAAAATATATGATAATTTATCTATTATTAGTTCATATGAAACTCCACAGTAATGGGCTATTCGTGTAAAAGATGCTTTGCAAGCATTGATTACTGAAGGCCATAAAAGCTATTACCATGTATTCTGCCTTTTCAGATCATCTGGGCAAGAAGTAACCAAAACATACTATGATAACTATGAAGGGAGAGAAATTACCATTGGTTATCAGAGACCCAATGATATTCATAATAGCAAAATGGCTATTTGCTTCGATTGCTGGAAATTGGTAAAGATCCCTGATAGAGCTCCAAATGGGTCAGGTCAGGTCAGGTTATATTAGGTTGTCTGTTTGACCTGACCTGACCTGAAACCTGAAAAATTTCAGGACTATTTTTATTAAAGTATTGAAAAAAAATGGTACAAAACTTTTTTTTTTTTTATAA